GTGGGTTCTCGACGGCTGCCCAGCTTCGGAATGCTCTTCAGAGGGCTTTCTAGGGGTGCCCAGATCGTCCCGTACAACCGCCTGAGGCCAGAGCTGTGGCCCGAAAGCCGACACCACGCGCAGAAGGGGGATGGGGGGAGGGTTTCTTAGAGGCACCCCTGCTTCTCATAAGGCGCGGGCCTTATCTTCGTAGATCTATGGCCTTCGTCTTCTAACGCGCAGCTTCCTTCGAAGACCCGCGCCTCGCATTGAGGGCACACGAGCGACGAACAGAAAATGGTCTTACGCGACATGGCATCGCGGCCTTAGCTGTGGCTTCCGCGGGCCACCAGGCGCGGGCGCGCATCTCAAAATCTGTCGTCGCCTTCTGGCTTGCCGATATTAGGGATAGGGACAAGTTCGAGCCTGGTTAGTATAATGTTGCTGTGCTGGGAGAAGGAAGAAGGGAGCCACTGTCATTTCATGGGCAACCATAAGGGGAGGGATAGGCATGAGGGGACGCATCGACCCCCAATCCACCCGCCCAGAAAGGTGCGGATTTACTCTCGCAGGGCTATCTCAGAGGCGGGAATTTATACTTGACCCCCGCCTGGAGGATCAATTCTCGGGGACCTCGGCAGGCGGTGGATATGGACAGATTCGGGCCCTCAGGGGCCTAAACATATCCATATCCACCGCCCGCTGGGGGCACCAGGACGTCGCTTCCCAGGCGGTGGATATGGATCTATCCCCGCCTCGCACCATCGCCGATCTCTCGGCGACGTATCGCCGGTTCCAGGTCGATGCATCCCCCCCCCATGCCAGTCCTCCCCTCCCTATCGCTGAAAGCGGTCCCCCCCTGATCGGTCCCCCCTGCGGGCGGTGCCAGGAAGCGGTCCCCCCTGATCGCGGTCCAGGAAACACCTTGTGGCAGGCCAGCCTCCCCCTGTGCCCGCCCCCCTGTGCCGGCCCTGGAGGCGGTGCCCCCCACCCCCAATGCCAGTCCCCCCCGACCGCTGCCCCCCCGCAAGAGCGGGGCGCTCCAGGCAGCACCTCGCCCTCGGCGACTCTCGCCCTCCGGGCGGCAGGCCGGCGGCAGGCCGGCGGGCAGTGGGGGCGCGTGCGCGGCTTCGGCGGGCAGCGGGCGCGCCAGTGTGCCGGTTAGGGCGTCCCCTGTCCTGCTCAGAGGTGGAAGAGGTACCCATCGGCGTCACCTCAACATACTGATGCCACGTGCGCGCCGCCCCCCGTCACCCCGATGCCACGTGTGCGTCGCCCCCCCCCCCCCCCCCAGGGGCGACGCGCGCGCCGAGAGATCCTAGAGTCTATGCGTCGAGGCAGGCGCTTCCTGGCCACATCGCTCTGGTCCTAAACCGATTAAACAAATGAGGTCCCCCCCCACTCCCCCCCCCGGATCCCGACTGCCATTAATTCGCAACCGGATCAATATTTTTTATCTGCCCACCCTGGAAAAAATCCATGGATGCCGATCGATGCTACTTGTATATACCTCGGTACCAGGGAGAATGCCGATGGGGATGTTCCCGCGTTCCGATCAGACAATGAATTTTTACATTGGGTTTTCGCCATTGGGTTTTGGAGTTCAACATCGTTCCCGTGGTATAAAGTCTATCAGCGGTATGCCGCCGCGCGCGCGCTGGCGATTGGCATTTGTGCATTCACTGTCGTATATCCACATGGGAATGTTTCCGTCTTCAGAGAATGAATTTTTACATTGGGTTTTCGTCATTGGATTTTGGAGTTCAACCTCGCTCCCATTGTATAAGACCTATCAGCGGCATGCCGCCGCGCGCGCTAGCGATTGGCATTTGTGCATTCAGCGTCGCAGACCCACACGAGGATGTTCCCATCTTCCGATCAGACAATGATTTTTAACAGTGGGTTTTCGTCATTGGGTTTTGGAGTTCAACATCGCTCCCGTTGTATAAAAATCTATCAGCGGCATGCCGCCGCGCGCGCGCGCTGGCGATTGGCATTTGTGCATTCAGCGTCGCATATCCACATGGGGATGTCCCCGTCTTCCTTCCGATCAGAAAATGATTTTTTACATCGCTCCCGTTGTATCAAGACAATCAGCGGCATGCCGCCGCCGCGCGCGCGCTGGCGATTGGCATGTTTGCATTCAGTGTCGCATATTCACATTGGGATTTTCCCGTCGATCGATCAGATAAATAATTTTTACATTGGGTTTTCGCCGTTGGGTTTTGGAGTGCAACATCGCTCCCGTTGCATCAAATCTATCAGCGGCATGCCGCCGCCGCGCGCGCCCTCGCTGGCGTCCGGCACTTTTTGCATTTAGTGTCGTATATCCACATTGGGATGTTCCCGCCTTCCGATCAGAGAATGAATTTATACAAAATCAAATTTCGTCCCGCTGTGTAAAACCTATCAGTGGCATGCCGCCGCCACGCGCGCGCGAAACTTCGCCCCGTTGTATACAACCTATCAGCGACATGCCGCCGCCGGGCGCGCGCGCTTGCTGGCGTGTGGCATTTTTGCAGTCAGTGTCGTATATCCACATTTGGATGTTCCCGTTGTCCGATCAGAGAAAGAATGTTCACATTGGGTTGTCGCCATTGGGTTCAGGAGTTAAACATCGCCCCCGTTGTTCAACATCTATCAGCGGCGTTCCGCATTTGCGTATCCAGCGCCGCTGCGCAACCCAGACGCGGTGCGCAGGGAGTGGTCCCTGAACGCAGTCTCTATCCACGCTGGGGTCGCAGGGCGTGGCGGGCGTGGCCTGACGCCAAGAGGGGGTGGGCAGGAATCTGCCCCTTGCACGCAGGGCGCCAGGGCGGTCTCGGGGACGTCTCCGGCGATCCAGTTTGCCCCGCCTCCCTTTTGATTTTTATAGACGCACTACAGCGCTGGGGACTACCATGTTTCAACGGTCTCCCCAAACTACGTTCTTTTGCGTTTTTTTTCAAGCCCCAAAAAATACCATACTACAATCACGCAGTGGCGAAGCATCTTGGCTTGCCTATTGCCAAACCTTTTGTGGTTTCCACGAAATGTTCTTGGAGCCTTTCTGGCGGAGTCTGTCGTGTTCGAACATATCGGATTTCCGTTCTAAGAACAGTCTTTGCGTTCTTAGAACATTTTTGGGTTCTAAGAACATTTCGTGGTAGGACTACAGAGGAATGCCGGGACGGTCGGTCCCTGCTCAACACAAGATGTGTGTACTGCATGTTCGACTCGGACGCGCGCCTCCACGAATGGCATCTAGTACTGGTATGTATTCGTGCGTCCCTTCCCTTTTTTCCCCCTCTCCTGGGCCTCCGGGGAGGCCCTCGTCGCCACGGCTGGATTCGCCTGGACTTCTGGCGAGCACGCACCCAGGGGAAGGTCTCGGGAGCAGAGGTCTCGGTACCTCTTGATTTCCCCCCCATCTGCGTCGCTCGAGCGGATTCGAGCCGTCAGGGCAGGGGAGCTGCAGACTCGCGCCTCGGGGGCCCGAGTAAGGACGTCACCGCAGACCCGAGCCTGGAGCTTCCAAACATGCGAATACTGTGTGCGTGCCCCCCCCCCCGCGCCAGCGCAGACACTCTGCCAAGGCGCCGACGCAGAAAGCGTGCCCCCATCCCGCCCCCCCCGCGGGGCGGCGTGCGCGCCGCGAGGTCACACCAGATCGCTTCGCTCATTCCGCCAGCGGCATTGCTTCGTTCACTGCGCTGGATCGTTGGCAGATCTCACTGGGTCGCGTCGCTCGTCGTTGCGCGCCGGGAGATCTCACGGGACTGTTTCGCTCACGTCGTTTGCCGATCGCCGAAAGATCTCACTTGATGGTTTCGCATCACTGTGGCTGCGTGGTGGTGTGCTCGTGCCCGGGGGGAACGGTAGGGCAGGCAGTAAAGTCTTCGAGGAGATCTTTGGAGATGTGGCTTTCACCCTGTCGAAGAGAGCCGGTCGTCTGCCCCAGCGGGCGCCAGCATGGATCAAGAGAGCTCAAGTTAGCCCAGATGATTCGGGCGTCCAAGGCAAGGGGCGATTCCTCGCCAGGCCTCCCATGGTCCCCCATGGCCCTCTGCCCCATCTCTCCTTTTACTCGACGAAAGAAGGCGTCATCTACATAAGTTGTTGCAGTTCCGCGCGGATCTCTTTGATCGGCGCCCGCCCCCCCTGACGGCACCTCCAGCGCCGCCCCTAGCGCGATGCGCGCGCCAGGGAGAGGGGTCCAGCGTAGATCTAAGAAATCCGTGTGGATCGTCAAACGTGTATGTCCATTCGGCGGCGAGCCCAGGGGGGAAGTGAGAAGGGGCGGCCCTTCTCAGGAGGCTCGGAAGTACCCCCGCCTTCTGAGAAGTGTTCTGGGCTTCCCCCGGATATACGACAGACTTTTCAGAACAGAAGACTTCTCAGAAGGTCTTCTGAGAAGCCCCGCTGCCTTCTGAGAAGGCGTTTTCTTTTCATGTCCCCCCTTGCTCGCCGCCGGTCTGTGCAATTGTGTTTCCCCTACGGTCAGGAACGATTGTTTAGCGTGTATCTCATTTCGGGCCTTGCGAAACCGAAGGCGCTTACACGCTCAGCAGCGCAGGAACGAGCACGCTAAGTAGGGGCGTAGACAGGGGGTGAACAGCCGCCAATCGCTATACACGCTATAGCTCGCGGTGCTCTCGGTGTGCAGCTCCTCCTCATGCCTGCCCTCCACCCTGCCGCTGCTGCTGCGCTCGCGCGCCGAAGCTCGTCCTGCGGCGTCTGCCACGGTCGAGCTACGCAGCGACGCGACGGAGCGCCCGTGTGGCGAAGCGGCACCTCCGTGGCGATCGCCTCCTCTCCAATCCCCTCTTCCTCCTCCTCCACCTCCTCCTCCTCCTTCTCCTCCATCCTCCTCCATCCTCCTCCATTCTCCTCTTCCTCTTCCTCATTCTCATTTCCTCCTCCTCCATCCTCCTCTTCCTCCTCCTCCTCCTCGTCATTTCCCTTCCATTCCTCCTCAGCCTCTCCTGCGGGCAGGGCGTCTTGTGGAGTGCGGGGGGCCGGGCCGAGCCCGTGCAGCCGAGGCGACAAGCAACAGTCGCTGATCCGCAAGTGGCACACGCTGATCGAGGCCCTCGGCGGCGCTCCTGCGCGGCGGGGCCTGCCCTCCCCTGTCGAGTGGAGAAGAGTGCTCCTCCTCCTCCTCCTCCTCCTCCTCCTCCTCCTCATCCTCCTCCCTCCTCCTCCTCCTCCTCCTCCTCCTCCTCCTCCTCCTCCTCCTCCCCTCCTCCCCCTCCTCCTCCTCCTCCTCCGCCCTCTCCCCCTCCTCCTCTTCGAGGAGGGAGGATCAGGGGAGGAGAAGGTGCCGATGCCACGGCTCGTTCTGCAGAGCCCTCGTCGCCACGGCTGGATTCTCCCCGCGAAAATTTGGTCGGAGTGTGGCCCCGGAGAGTTCGGGGAAAAGCGTCGTCGATCCTGCATGTTATCCGCAGCGGAGGAGCAGCATCAGATGGGGAGGTGATGGGACGAGGACGTCGGGTGGGCCCCTCTCTTCTGTGTCTCTTCCTCTTGCTCTTCAGCAGCAGCATCATCGTCATCAGCATCGTCATCGTTATCATTGCCATCCTGATCTCCACCATCCTCACCAGTCACCACCATCATCATCCTCATCCGCATCCGCATCCGCATCATCATCATCATCATCATCATCATCATCATCATCCTCATCCTCATCCTCATCCTCATCATCAGCATCAGCATCAGCATCAGCATCATCATTACGATCATAATTGGTCATCACAATCGACATCACCATTACCACAACCATAATCATCAGTAGCAGCAGCAGGTCATCATCATCATCATCATCATCATCATCATCATCATCATCATCATCGTCATCGTCATCGTCATCGTCATCGTCATCGTCGTCGTCATCATCGTCGTCCTCGTTCCTACGCTCGTGGGTGGCCGGCACCAGAGCTGGGCCGCCAGCCGAGGAGAGGGAAGGGAGGAGGGGCTTGGAGGAGGGGGCAGGGAGGAAGTGGGAGAGATGAGGCAGCAGGAGGAGGAGCAGGATCGGGAGCAGCACGCTACAGTGTCGTTTGTAATACATGGTCCGCGTGCGGCTCATGTATTAAAAATGCAGGGGTTTAGTGTTAAAAACAACGATGAGTTCATGCATGAATTCATTCATAAATTATTCATGTATTAAAATCATATAGTTAAAAATCCTACGTGTTAAAAATTGCCCTGTTCTAGTACGAAGGATGCTGAGCATGACAGACGTCGGCGATGAGGTGGATGAGGAGGACAGGAGCTGGATGGGCGAGGGAGGGGGGGGAGAGCGAGGCCTCTTGCTCCTCGTCCCCCCCGTCGGTCTCCTCGCCCCGCTCGTCGTCGTCCTCGCCGTCCTCCTCCTCGCCCTCGCCGTTCCCCTTGTCGTCCTACTCCTGCTCTCCTGCTCCCCTTCCCCAACTGCTCGCTGCATCCTTCTCCTGCGTCCTCCGCCCGCCTCGTCCGCGTCGTCGCCCGGGTCATGCTGCCGCTTCCGTTTCGCGGTTTCTTTTTTTTTGTTATTCAGCGTCGCCGTGTCACTGGTGGACGTTGCCCCCAAGAGGTGATCTGACCCAGTCAATTGCAGTTGTTTGTGTGACTTGGTCGAGAGCGACAGGAGAGAGAGATAACGAGCCTGCGATAGAGAGAGAGAGAGATAAAGAGAGAACATGATCTCTTCGCACTGAACATCATAACGATATACATGTGTGTATATATATATATATATATGTGTATCCCTCCTTGTGCTGTTTTTCTCTCCCTGTCCCTCTCTATAAATATATGTATGTGTGTGTCTGTCTATCTATCCCAGCGCGAGTGGCAGATCTCCAGTCGCCAGTGACACTTCAACAAGCCAGCCCGCAGACACACATACATTTACATGCATAATTCGATGCATTTGTACAAACATTATACGCACGGTCCAGCAATGGCCCCAACCAGTTTGTTTTCTACCTGTAGATGGTGCCATCTGAGCTGGGCAGTACGTCGTGCAATCTAGATGGCGCAGATCAGATTGTGCATCTTGCAATGCGGTCTTTGCTACCAAAGGGGTGCAATATGCGTTGTGCAATAAGTGAGGCCATATGTATTGTGCACAACTGGTGATGCAATCTATGTCGGGCAACCGACGTGGTGCAATCTATGGGGTGCAAGACACTTTGACTGTCTTGAAGCTGTCCTCTCCACTGCTCGTGCAAACACCCCACCCTCCCACCCGCAACTTGATCGCAAGACCTCTCAAGACCGTGACGGCAGGTACACTTGGCACGACTACTACGACACCGACGACGACTCTGACGACTTCGACGACGACGAGAAGGACGACGACGACGACGACGACGACGACGACGACACCGATGGCGACGCCGAAGACGACGCCGACGCCGACGCCGACGACGACGACGACGACGCCGACGACGACGACGACGACGACGACGACGCCGACGACGACGACGACGACGACGACGACGACGACGCCGACGACGACGACGACGACGACGCCGCCGACGACGACGACGCCGACGACGACGACGACGAAGACGACGACGACGACGTCGCCAACCAAGACGACGACGACGACGGGGGAGGAGGGAGGACGACGACGGCGACAACGACGACAACGACGAGGGAGGAGGGAGGACGGCGACAACGGGAACGACGAAGAAGGAGGGAGCACGGCGACGCCAACGACGACAACGGCGAGGGAGGATGGAAAACGACGACGACGACGACGACGGCGACGACGAAATAGGAGGGACGATGACGAGAGGCCGACGACAGACGACGACGACGACCGATCTGCGTGAGAGGTGCCGCCGAATTTCAGAAATGTTGCAAATCCCCTGTGTTTTTGAACCCTGACCCCGCCGATCTGCGTGAGGGGTGTCATCAAATGTCAGGAATGTGGCAAATCCCATGTGTTTTTGGACCCTGACCCAGCCGATCTGCGTGGGGGGTGCCAACGAATCTCAGAAATGTAGCAAATCCCTTGAGTTGTTGGACCCTGACCCTACGGATCTGCGTGAGGGTTGCCACCGAATGTCAGACGTGTAGCCAATCCCTTGTGTTTCTGGACCCTGACCCCGCCGATCTGCATAAGGGGTGCCAGCTAATTTCAGGAATGTGGCAAATCCCATGTGTTTTTGGACCCTGACCTCGCCGATCTGCGTGAGGGGTGCCACCGGATTTCAGAAATGTGGCAAATCCTTTGTGTTTTTGGACCCTGACCCCGCCGATCTGCGTGAGGGGTGTTAATTTTTACCCACCCCAGCAATTCAGACGACACGCTCAGGGCGTGGTAGAAATTCCCGTTTTGGGCCTCCCCCCCTCGCGCGGTCCATCAACAAGGAACAGTAAGCAGAAGAAGTCAACAAGGAACAGTAAGCAGCAAGAAGCAGAACTGTAACAGTGGAAACTGGAAGCTGCAACTGGTACAGGAAAGTGCGAATCTTCGGCCTACAGCCTGGTGGCCCCACAAGGGGGCCGGCGGATTTCTTTTGGGGTTTATCAAAAAGCATAATTTATCATGGGACTTTGTTTGACATTTTTCAGGGGCACGATTCCGTTGGAGCTGTTGTTCGAGATTTCGCAGGAGGGGGATATTATAGTTTGAGACTGCGTAGTGGCAAGATTTCGTCGGAGGTTAGTAACTCGACTATCGTGGCATGATTTGTTTTGATGTTTTTTTCCCAACCATCCTGTGGTGTTGGGTCCTCGTTTTGAAGAGACGGTGCCCCGCGTTCTCCCTCCTTCCTTCCTCCCGCTGCCTCCTCCCCCCTCCCATCATCATCATCATCAACACCCATTTCGGCACACCCCTCACACGTTTCGTGGCTCCATAGGGAGCTCCACCGAAGGCCCCAGTGCCCGCGGCCGCATGCGTCCCCCACACCCATTTCGGCACACCCCTCACACGTTTCGTGGCTCCATAGGGAGCTCCACCGAAGGCCCCAGTGCCCGCGGCCGCATGCGTCCCCCACACCCATTTCGGCACACCCCTCACACGTTTCGTGGCTCCATAGGGAGCTCCACCGAAGGCCCCAGTGCCCGCGGCCGCATGCGTCCCCCACACCCATTTCGGCACACCCCTCACACGTTCGTGGCTCCATAGGGAGCTCCACCGAAGGCCCCAGTGCCCGCGGCCGCATGCGTCCCCCACACCCATTTCGGCACACCCCTCACACGTTTCGTGGCTCCATAGGGAGCTCCACCGAAGGCCCCAGTGCCCGCGGCCGCATGCGTCCCCCACACCCATTTCGGCACACCCCTCACACGTTTCGTGGCTCCATAGGGAGCTCCACCGAAGGCCCCAGTGCCCGCGGCCGCATGCGTCCCCCACACCCATTTCGGCACACCCCTCACACGTTTCGTGGCTCCATAGGGAGCTCCACCGAAGGCCCCAGTGCCCGCGCCCGCATGCGTCCCCACACCCATTTCGGCACACCCCTCACACGTTTCGTGGCTCCATAGGGAGCTCCACCGAAGGCCCCAGTGCCCGCGGCCGCATGCGTCCCCACACCCATTTCGGCACACCCCTCACACGTTTCGTGGCTCCATAGGGAGCTCCACCGAAGGCCCCAGTGCCCGCGGCCGCATGCGTCCCCCACACCCATTTCGGCACACCCCTCACACGTTTCGTGGCTCCATAGGGAGCTCCACCGAAGGCCCCAGTGCCCGCGGCCGCATGCGTCCCCCACACCCATTTCGGCACACCCCTCACACGTTTCGTGGCTCCATAGGGAGCTCCACCGAAGGCCCCAGTGCCCGCGGCCGCATGCGTCCCCCACACCCATTTCGGCACACCCCTCACACGTTTCGTGGCTCCATAGGGAGCTCCACCGAAGGCCCCAGTGCCCGCGGCCGCATGCGTCCCCCACACCCATTTCGGCACACCCCTCACACGTTTCGTGGCTCCATAGGGAGCTCCACCGAAGGCCCCAGTGCCCGCGGCCGCATGCGTCCCCCACACCCATTTCGGCACACCCCTCACACGTTTCGTGGCTCCATAGGGAGCTCCACCGAAGGCCCCAGTGCCCGCGGCCGCATGCGTCCCCCACACCCATTTCGGCACACCCCTCACACGTTTCGTGGCTCCATAGGGAGCTCCACCGAAGGCCCCAGTGCCCGCGGCCGCATGCGTCCCCCACACCCATTTCGGCACACCCCTCACACGTTTCGTGGCTCCATAGGGAGCTCCACCGAAGGCCCCAGTGCCCGCCGCCCGCATGCGTCACCCCCACCCATTTCGGCACACCCCCCGCATTTCTCGCACGGCAGGGTCATCACCACGGTGGCGTGCCAGGGACGCACCGTGCGCGAAGGCGACGGGGCGGGGGAACGGCGCTCCGGGGGCGGTCAGACCTCCGGGGCGCGAGCAGTCCGCGGCCAGACCATCTCTCGGTCCTGTGGACTCTCGCCCTGGGCCGTCGGCTGCCCGGCGCGCTGCTCCCTCGGTCGACGTCGCCCAGGCGTGATCCTGGATTGCGGCCGCCACGAGGTAGGGAACGGCAAGAAGGAGGACGACGACTGGTGGCTGGAGCTCTACGTGCTGCTCTCGCGCGCCACGCGCCACGAGGACCTCCTGCTCATGCGGGCGCCGCGCATCGAGTTCTTCCTGGCAGGGCCGCCGCAGGGCTTGCGGAAGCAGCTGGAGCAGTTTGCGGCGCGCACGAAGCGGTGCAGGAGGGAAGCGACGGCCCTCGCCAGGGAGCTCGGCTTCACCGAGTTCATCCGCGAGGCCTGACCTGAGGAGCGTCTCCCCCGAGCCGCGCCTTCTCTCGACTGCCCGACTAATTGTTTGGCCTCGCGCCGCGGACGACCCGCGCGCGTCGCTGGGACCTTCTCGGGGCGACCTGCGCGCGTCGCGGGAACTCCGTGCTGCGGGGGGCCCGGCGCCTCGTTCGCCCGTCGTCGCTCTGCCCAGCGGTCAGAGACTGGCCCGCTATCAGCCAGCCAGTTAGCTAGTCAGCTCTCTCTGCTTCGCGCAGCGGGCGATCCGCGCGCGTCGCTGGGACCCCGCCCGGGGCGACCAGCGCGCGTCGCGGGGGCTCCGCGCTGCGCTGCGCCCGCAGCCTTGGATTTTGGAGTACGCGGGCAAAGAGGAAGGAAAGGAAGAGCCGAAAGCGGGCGCGATCCTCGCAAGAGGCGTGCCGACATGGGCGTCGCGACGTGCGGGCGCTGCCGTCGGGGTTCCCGCGGAAGCTGCCTGCGGCGGCCACGCCCAGTGTCACGTGTGTTCGGACAGGCATGCTCGACACTTACACTAGGCGGTTCCATGATCGCGTTCATGCAAATATATTCACTCGCGCGCAGACCCATTCATACTCAGACTCAGATTCCCTCGCGCTCTGACTCACCCGCGTTCTTTCTCTCGTAATCAGATCAATCGTATTCCTTTGCGTTGTGTACCCCGCCGCATTTCGGGACACCCCTCATGCGGTTCGTGGCCCCATAGGGAGCGCCACCGAAGAAGATACTCCCAATTGCGATACTCACAACTGCATATGGTTGGGTCCTTCGCCAGGATAATTCAGATGCTTCGGTAGTCGGCGATTTTGTTTGGATAGTCCAGGTGCGAGGCTGGATCTGGGGCAGCGCCAGGTCTGACCATCGTCTCCAAGTGTGTCTCCTTGTCTCCCATGGTCTCCAGCTGTCTCACATTGTCTATCCGTGTCCCCATCTCTACCCTCATATATCTGCCCTTGTCTCTGTTCATGTCCCAATCTCCCGATCCCTAGCCTGATGACCCTAGCTCCCGATCCCCCTAATCGTGACCCACCACCGCGTCCCCAATCGCAGGTGCGCAGAGCTGCTCAGGGCCTGCGGCCGCAGGGACGTCGTGTGTGCTGATGTTGCGCAGCTGCTCGGTCCTCGAACGCGTAAGGCCTGAGTGGTGGTCATCGCGCGAGCTGGCTTGTCGAGAGCACGGGTGGGCTCCCCAGCGGAGTGCCCGCGGCTGTGGCGTGCGCTGGCTGCTCTCCGTCCTCTCCCAGGGGCGGAGGAGGCGGCGAGGTGGCGCCCCCACCCGCTTTCGAGGCCCACGTGGACGTGAAGACCACCGACGGGTACCTCGTGCGCCTCTTTTGCCTCGCCTTCACCAAGAAGCAGCCAGGGCAGGACGCCTCCTCCTCGTCCTTCTCGTCCTCCTCCTCCTCCTCGCCCTCCTCGTCGCCCTCCTCCTCCTCCTCCTCCTCCTCCTCCTCCTCCTCCTCTTCCTCTTCCTCCTTCTCCTCCTCCTCCGGATGCGGGGCGCCGCCGCGACCATCCAGCCCCCATCTTTGGGGCCCCCAGGCGGCGCGGTGAGCACGCCGTGCATCGAGTCGGTGGGGATTCGGGGTGGCCGCATGGTGTTCGTGTCCGTCTCGGTCTCCGAGGACGTCTCGGGCGATTGGGGCCTCTAGGGTCCCCAAAATCATGCGATGACGGACCATGCGCCGAGGTCTTTAGTGAGGACGCCGAGGTCACCGCACGGTGTGTCACCGCACCGTCTGGAGAACCCCAGCCACCGTCGTTTTTTTGTCTCTCAAGGTACATCTCAATCCGATCGATCCGATTCGATAGCTATCGGTTTCAGCCAGCCCGAGAGTCGTCTCCTCGCGTTACGACGATCAGATGCGGCCCCCCGATGCCTGAATGGTGCCGATGGGCGGCCAAGAAATCCCCCCACGCCCCAGGAGAAGAACAACTGCTACGCGCAGACGGCCCAGATCCGCAAGATCCGCAAGAAGATGACGGACATCATGACCGGCGAGGTGAACAAGGCATGTAATTTCCGAGCCTGCTTGTCCTTGCGTTTTTCGGGCAGTGGCGAAGCGTCCTGGCTTGCCTATAGGGCCACCAACGGATGTTCTAATGACCCTCTGCAGTCTGCACGAAATGTTCTTAGAACATGTCTGGCTGAGACTGCCGTGTGTTAGCGCATCGGGTCTGTGTTCCGAGAACGTGCGCTCGTTCTTGGAACACCTCTGGGGTTCTGAGCACATGCCGTGGCAGGCCTACAGGAACGCCAGGACGGTCGCTCCCTGCTCAAGCTGTCTGGATCGCTCCTGCCCCGGGCCCTCCCCCGGCCTTTCCCTCCCCCCCCTCCGCGCCCCGCGCGCGCCTGCCCCCTGTCCCCCACAGGCCCCCGCTCGCCTCGGTGGCATCCCGCTTCCGCTCGCACGCTTGCTCGACTCCGCGCGGCCGCCGGCAACACAGAGCGAGTCCTTGCGCGTCCGGGCCCCGCCGCTTCCTGGAGGCTCGGCGGTGGGTACGGGAAGGATGGGCACGGAGACTAGCAGCAAACCGTCTCCCTTCTGACCGGGAATCGCTGTCGGCCTCGCTGTGGGCGTTGCCCACTGGAGACCGAAGGTCGTCTGCCCAACAGCGGCCGCTGTCGCTTTTAGACAACATTCGCTGTTGGGCATCGTATCCATTATTTTCCGTAGCGTGTCCGTTGCAAGATGCAATTCAAGAGGGCTCAGTCAGAAGGGCCTCTGGAGAGATCGGGGGGTGAGTGCAGAACGATTCTTGGCAGGGGGATGGCAACCGTTTTTTTCGCAGGTCGGTTTTAGGAAACCACGCTGCCCACTCGATCTCTTGCCGCTCTCACTCATCGTGGTGAGTGCGCCGTCTGAGCAATCTCCAGGCTCACGCGTGTCTCACTCGGTGGCCTGGTCGCGACGATGTCGTAGACGAGGTTTCTTCGAAAAGGAGGGGCCGGGGGTTTGCGCAACAGGCCACACGGCACGTGGATCAAGCGCCAGGACTTAGCAGGGCGCTGGCCCTGTGCCAGTACCAGGACGTCCTGTGGAATTTAGAACATCAGCGGTACCGTTGGCGGGGTCGGCTCTACCACGCGGGAATGTATCAACGCCATCTAGACTTGTTGTTATAATATTGGTGGCACCAGGAACTTGCATGTGACCGTACTGGTCGGAAGGATCACTGTGCGACCAATTCTGCATATCCCGCGAAGGTTTTCAAAAACGGGCCGGCCGCCATATTTGCCTGCAGCACCTTGTTCGTTTCGCACCGCGTATGTCGCGATGGTCGCCGCTTTAGGTGAGGCCGCCCTCCGCTGCTTCAGGTTAATTCGTCGCTGCGTGCCCCGATTTGACTGGACTCGCCGCCGGCGCGGTCGCCCGCGGCCGCTGAAAAAAGATGTCGCGATGACAGTGGCAAACGCCACAACAGCCATGCCAGCATCCTTGGCGCCCTACAATCAGGATCCAAAAATAAGGACCACTTCCGGTTCAGGAGGGGCCCTGGTTTGGGGGCTGCGCCTTACATCTAGGCTGGGGAACCAATTCGTTGTCGAGTCTCGCCGTGGCCAGAAACGCCAAGTCGTTCTGGTTTCGCCATCTCTCCCACCTCGATTTCCTCGGTGACGCTCGCGGCTCCCCTTTCCTTTGATGGCATCCATTTTCGACAGCCTCCAACTCAACCGTTGGATTCGGTGGAGCTCTCGTCTCACGTGTGCTGTCGACTGTTCGTTCAGCCGCCCGTTCACATTAGCACTCAGCGTAGCCGCGGCGAGGCCACGAGCTTATCTCAGGAGGGGAAGAAACACACAGACACAATTAATCCTCGACTCCCAGAGAATATTGGAAAATATGGGAAGTGGGTGGGAAGACAGAAACCCAGAAAGTATCGGAAAATATGGGGATTATTTTATTTGTGTGTACGTTTTTTTGTGTGTCTTGGGGCCCCTTCGTTATCCCTGCGCCCAGCGTCCTCCACCACAGCAGTTTCCATCGACACGACCCCATGGCAGAATGCCACCACGAGCTCACGGGTGACGAAGAAGAGGAGCAGAATGAATTGCCGGTCGAGGGGGGATATGATGAGGATAAAGAAAAAGAGACGGAGGAGTAGGAGGAGGGAGGAGTAACAGCAGGGAGGAAGAGGAGGAGGATGAGGAGGAGGAGGAACAGGAGAAGGAGGAGGAGGGTTGAATGAGGACGAGGATGAAGAGGGGGAGGGGGAAGGGAAGGGAGGGAGGGTAAAGCGAGGGTGCAAGGTCATGCTCCGCTCGATGTCTTTTCAACGACGGGAGGGGGATGCGATCTCTCCTCCCCCTCTGATCGGCCTCGCTGCTGTTCCCCCCATCGTTCTCCGCCTCCGTCCGAGCCCCTCCGCCCTTCCTTCCCTGGCAGGGAGGGACGGGCGGAGGGGCCCGGAGCGCCGCTGCCTGGACGAGATTCCCCGCCCCACCGCTCTTCCCGAAGCGCCACTGCTCCTCCCTGCGCCAGCGGTCATACCGGCGGGGCGGGCCCGAGCGTGCCGCCCGACGCTTCCTCGCTGCTGAGGGCCTTCCGGGAGGGAGGGCGGGTTGTTTTTTGTAGTGGGGCTCTCGCCGCAGCGCCTTGCCCATCTGACTGAACATTCTTGATGCTTCGCGTATCCCTACCAGCCCACCGAGTGATCGACCTCTACGTGATTTTGGTCGCGCCGTCGCGCCAATATGGCTGCGTCTTTTCGCTGGTAGCCACCGGGATTTTCGACGCTTCAAGCGCCCATCGGAAACGAATCATCAAAACATGACAAACATACATCCCCCTTAGGTTTTGAACCCATGTTGGCCTCTTGGCGGTGTCCTTGGAAGGCTCGGACGGCACTTGAAACCGTCTTGGGTCCGTCTTGAGGCCTCTTGGATGCGTGTTGGAGGCTATATTGAACCGTCTTGAGGTATCTTGGGCGATCTCGGAGGCCACCTTGGGCTAACTAGAGCCCTCTTGAAGCCATTTTGGGCCATCCTGGACGCTCTAATCCCTCGCGGGGGAGCCCGTCCAGACCAGGAAGGGGGGGAGGTAAACTTCCCTAGCAGGGAAAGGAAGGAGGTTAGACAAGGAAATGCTGTAGACCACCTGCGCCCAGCGGGCTGGTGGGATTTGCCATGTTGGCCCGTTTTCAACGTGCAGTTCTCGCCTCAGCGCCGCGCACACTCTTGTTGAAGATCCGACATCTACATGGATGGAGGGTGGTCCCTTCTCACAACGGGGCTCTCGGTTGAGACTTCTGCTGTTCTTGTTTGTGAAGAAGCGCAGAATTGAGCAATCGCCGAATTCACGGATGGAGGTCGGTTCTTTGTCGAACCAAAGTTTTATTTCGGATGGCAGGCCCATGCCCATTGGGTTTTGGTTTTGCCGGGGGGCGTGGGGGGTTGGGTTTCCGAAGTAAATTGGCTTCTCTAATGCGCCCCATGATGAGGGGGCCAGGGGACTTGGGACGGGAGGCGCTTGTGCACCCTGAGTTTAATATGGCCATCATCTCTGGCGTGTCCTCGTTTTCTTTTCTTCTTCCTTCCAGAGATGACCGATTGCAGCAAGGTGCAGCTCCGGGACTTGGTGAAGAAGCTCATTCCCGAGTCCATCGGCAAGCAGATCGAGAAGGAGACGCAAGGCATTTTTCCCTTGAAGGATGTCCACATTAAGAAGGCCACCCACGTCACCAGTCATATCCCGATCCCTACTTATCTCCCCCCCCCCCCCGATTCCTCGTTCCCCTCGCCTCACTCCCCCCTCTTCTCTCTCTCTCTCTCTCTCTCTCTCTCTCTCCCCGCTCCTCCTGCCCCCACCTCCCCCTCTGCGTCCGCTTCTCGCCAGCTGGTCTCCCCCATCTCCCTCTCCTCTATGCATTTCACCCCCTAGAGTTCACTAACGCCCCCTTATTCGAGGGTCGTGTCGGCGCCAAAGGGCACTGAGGTAGTACACACGCGCCACTAGTTTGACGCATTGTGTAATTGGTGCTAACGCTAGCCTCGTGGTAGCGAGGACGTGAGCTCTCTGGATACACATTGCCCTCCCCTGCCTCAGCCTGATCATCGTCCTCATCATACAATTTGGCTCGAAGTGGTGGGATGGCTCTGGAAACTTCTTGCTGAGAGGAAACATGGGAAGGGGTCCAGACTTGTCCCTCCCCCTGGACCTACCCTGATCATCGTCCTCGTACAATTTGGCTCGACTTGGCGGGATGGTTCTGGAAGATTCTGGCCGAGAGGAAACGTGAGAAGGGGGTCCAGTCGTGTCCTTCCTCCTGGACCTACCTTCGTTGGGGGCACGCAGGAGTGGCCGGAAGCGCCCCCCTGGGCCACGCACCAGCGTGGCCAGACTGCAGAGGATCAGCATTCGGGATATCGAGCGAACCTGCGCAGCGGGCACGGACGGGAGGGGTACTCATCGACACGATGAACTTGCGGAGCCAGGTGCCCAGCTCCAGCAGTTCAGCGCTCGTTGTAAGCATGGGGTTGGTCAGATGTACAGCCGTGCCGATTCAGAGACCTCCGATTGACCTTCACCGGAAAGGTACGGTAAGTTCATGCGGCGTTGGCGCACTGGCGACGCTGGCGAAGGCTTTCCAGGCTGAATTCTGCGACGCGGAAGCTCCGAGGTACACGGTGATCCCACTGGACCCGACGGAATTCAACCTCGAACGATCGGGGTCGCGATCGGTTCAAGGCGGAACGATCGACGCGGTGTCAAAGACCTATGTGCGCGCCGACGCCGCACGAACCTATCGTAAACCAGTCGGGGCTTCGACGCGGGTCACCAAGGGAGGGCCGAAGGCCGTTGCCATCAGGAGCATCCCCGAGCCCCGTGCGCCGCGACGAGGTCAAAATCCTCAAGAAGCCCAAGTTCGACATCACCAAGCTCATGGAGATGCACACCGGCGGCGACGACGCGGGCGTGGAGATGCTGCGGCCGGAGGCAGACCGCCGCGGGGGAACGAGGAGGGGAGCGGAGCAGCGACGAGGCGTGGACGAGAGGGCGCAGGGCGGAATGTGCCCCGTGCCACGCTGTCAACGGATGATCGCGAAGGGCAAGGAATTCGTTTCCTTCGGGCGCGCGCGCGGGATGTGGCCCGCGCCAGGGTCGCCAGGAAGGAAACGGGTCTTCGGGGAATTGGGTCCTGATGTTTTCCCCCTGTCTTCCAGGGTCCAGGGCCTAGGGGTCCAGGGCCTGTTTCCGTCAGGACCCCTCCTTCTTGCCAAGAGGGAGGGGCGATGATCAGAAATGAAAATCCTGCATGGGCATCAGTTTTCGGAGTTCCACTCGGATTTTTGTTATCGGCGTTGGGGCCCCCCTGGCAGCGCCTCCGGCGCCGCCTTTGGCGCGTTCCACGCGCAAGGGAGGGGGTCCTTTGCGAAGGAGGAGGAGGAGGAGAAGGAGGAGGAGGATGAGGAGGAGGAGCGATAGAGGGAGGGCGATGGGGGCGATGAGGCAGGGCAGGGGATCAGGGCAATGTTCAGGATGGTCAGAAGCTGGCCATGCAGCCATCACTCTGCCACAGCCTATGCGTGTTCATTACGTTATGGGCGCACGCCTGGGAATATTGGACCTATCGCCATCTCATCGCACCGCGGCGCCCACCAGTCTCCATCGTACAACGCAAATCTACGGCGGGACAGGTCATCAACATGATTACAGTCTCGGATCCGCATGACGTTTCAGAAATTTGAAAGGCCAAATCTTCGACAGCACGTGCAGATTATGTCGAGGAGGCGGTGGAAAGGACAAGGAGAGCAAGGAGGGTGTTGACGAGGAGGTGGACGAGGAGGCGAGCCCACTTTGTCTTCGCCCATCTAATCCCTGCCCCCAGGCTCTACCAGATCTCGCCACACCGCTGCCCCTCCCCTCGCCCCCGTCCCTCTCCCCCGTTCACTCCGCTCTTGGGGGAACGAAGTGATGATGGGGAAGAGGAGACTTTAGTTCACGAGGAGGAGCAGGGCTAGGAGGGAGAGGAGCCGTGTTTGATGTCAGCGGCCATGACGATATATGCATTCGGCCGCAGGAAGATGAGGCGAAGAACCTCTTGACCGCCAGCGTGGAGAAGGCTTGCTGTGCCCCTCATCTCCATCCTCTTCACCCGCTCAGTCAGGATGGTGATGAAGGTGACGGTGATGATGGCGATGAGGATGATCATTACCATGGTGTCGACCATGATGATTTGGCGGGTCGACCTCCATTACCACCCGCCTGAGATGATCATTACCATGATTTTGACCATGATGATTGTGTTCATGATGATTACTCTGATTTCTTGGATCCGCGCTGGCCCCCACCGGCGGCGCCTCTGGCGCCGCCCCTGGCGCGCTCCGTGCGTCAGGGAAGGGGGCCCAGCGCAAGATTCAAGAAATCCGCGCGGAGCGCCAAAGTTTATGTTTATGCACGGACGGAGAATCGCACGGACGGCATCCTCAAGGTGTTTGCGTTTGGTTTATTCGACCACCTTGCGAAAGACATCTGGCACTACATCGGCGTGCGTCGTGGCCACCAGTCTTCGTCTGGAGAGACCCACATCGCGGTTGTGTTCAAGGTCTTTTTAAATTGCAGCTTTCGGCGCCCCTTGCAGCCTCCAAGGAGGCAAAAACGGCAACGATTGCCACCGTGGATCCAAAGCAGTGTGTTATTGCAGTGTGGATAGCTAGCGTCGATCCATCAGCAAGCAGCAACGACGGGGGAGGCCCCGAGGGGCACAAGGGCGAGCAGGGGGCCACGCGAAGCAGCGAGAGGCGATCGGCGCACGCCCCAGCTTCCGCAAGCGGGAGCAGGGCGCGCACCGTTCACCAACCCACCGCAAGGAATGGCCCCCCGAGGGGAGGAGGAGACGCCGGCGGCGGAGGAGGAGCGGGACAGGCGAGAGGAGCGGAAGAGACGAACGACGGACGACGACGACGATTGACGACGACGACAGCAGAAGGGATCGTCACTCGCGTCACTCGGGATCATGGAACAGGTGTTGAAGAGGATGGACACGTCGTCCCGGACAACTCCGGCCAGCGGGGAGACCAGGACCTCGCTCTACACCATGGTCATTGCCGCTTTGTGGTCACTTGCAGGGTCTTGGGTAGCACTGCATCGCGAAAACAATCCCAGAGTGAATACTATCGCCCATCGAGCCGCCTTGCATTTGCTTGAAGTCAAAGCTTTCCGCGGCGGACCATGACCAACTTCTGCACAAAGCTCGGGCGACTGTACACTGAGTGGAAGGTCCTCTTCGAGAAAATCACCGGTTCTCAATTTGCTGTGACTGCGATTCGCAAGCCAGGCAGAACATGGCCATTCTTCAGCGTTTCCTTCATCCTTCAGCCATGTTGGCAGGCAAGCTGGCACATACCCCAACGCTGGGTTTCGAAGCGATGTCCCGTTTAAGCGTGATCGGGGGCGAAGTGCATGACCGAGGTATGGTTGTTGTGCAAGCAGGCTCGCTCCAGCTAACCGCCCTATGCACAGTACCAGCGGCTAGGCCCCCCCATCCCCTGGTCCTCTCCCTCGTCCTCCTTCCGCTCCCCCCTCCTGGAGTGTTTCTCCGAAGGGCTTAGGCGACCCGTCCTCCTCCTCCTCCTCCTCCTCCTCCTCCTCCTCCTCCTCCTCCTCCTCCTCCTCCTCCTCCTCCTCCCTCCTCTTCCTCCTCCCTCTCGTCGCCACGGCTGGATTCGCATTGAAATTCTGGTTCGACTGCACCCTGGGAGAGAACCGAGGCTTCCCAGATGGGGTCCGAGTAGATGGGGTCTGAGGATCGCGCCGCATCGCCGATGCATCGGCGATGCGGCGCGACCCTGCGACCCCATCTCGGAGGCATCGGACTACCGGGCCGGCCTCGCCCGCCTCACGACCGCAAAGCATTGGCGGATGCACCTCCTGGCGACCTGGGAAGCCGGTCGCCATGCGCAGGCGCTCCGCCGTCGCCCAGGCCCAGGCACTGCTCGCCACCGACCTGGCAGCGCTATCGGTGACGCTGTCAGTGACGTTTAGCGCTATCACCTCCTTGCGGAAGGGGGCAATGGCGCTATCAGTGACGCTTCGCGGAGGTGCGCTGCTTGCACGTTGAAAGCTGCTCCAATCCCCGTCAAGTTTGATCGTCAAGGTCACTCTTGCACATTTTATTGCTCGCCACCGTCTTGGCCGCGGTCGGCGATGTCCCTGCGGCCTCCGCGCGGCAGCGAGGTCGCTGCGGGCTGCACCCCGCTTGCCACGCCACGGCCCCGACCGCCCGCCGGGCAGCCAAAGCCTCGGGTCGCCACGGGGCCCGCGCGGGGGGTCGCCAACCTGGGCGCCATGCTTCCCAGTGGGCTGGCCCCCCGTCGTCAGCAGTGGGCTCAGGCCGCCCACTGGCTCAAGGAGGAGGAGGAGGAGGAGGAGGAGGAGGAGGAGGAGGAGGAGGAGGAGGAGGAGGAGGAGGAGGAGGAGGAGGAGGAGGAGGAGGAGGAGGAGGAGGAGGAGGAAGCTCGGCTCAAGCAATGTTCGAGCATCCTTGTTCTTGGCGTCGCTCGGACGTGTGCATTTTTCCTTCGGCGAGGACCATCGAGGAGCATCCTTGATCATTTGGCGAAACAACCGCGCGCAAAACCGAAACAAACACAGGGAATGGACGTTCGAGCGATGGCCAGTGTTCAGTTTGCACAGACTCCGATGACAGCAAGCACAGCAAGCATGGCCATGGCGGCACCCAGCGTGGGGCAAGCTCGGCATGCCAAGCGGCACGCAGCAGTCGCGCGAGATGCAAATATGGTCAACGAACGTTTCGACCGGATCGAGTCTGCCATGAGCGACAAAGAGGTAGACATGCTGAAAGTTACAGACAAAGAAGATGCTGCCAAAGAACATGGCGCTATCATGCGAGATCGGGGTGCCCACAACACCAGCACATCTTGATCCAAGCCTCGAGACAAGGATCACCTAGATCGATATTCTCCTTTACCGAACTCCTGTGGCAAATTTCACGCACAAAGACATGATTATTGACAATATCATACCGAAGACTGTCGAGCGCAACGCAGAGCTTCAGATGGAGCTCGCCCCCGACCGACAACATCACATCCCTGTGGCAGAACACGGAATACCAGACCACATCGAGGATATTCAGAAGACGCTCGACTTCGACACAGCGGGTATGACGCAGGGGGCGCGTGAGGATCCAGAGCCGAGCCCAATTTCCGTGCAGCTCGAGTCCGAAGAGGACGAGAAACCCAAAGAGATCGGCACCGCCGAGGACGCCAAGATAGCTGAGGAGACTGGACACGCGGAGGAGGATGAGGACGACGCCATTGAGGAGGCCTTCGGCGACGAGACGGTGAGCCTTGACAGCGGCAGTGACGGAGTGGACACAGAGGAGAAGACGAGCGAAGGTGCCCCAGAATGGTTCCCGCAAGATGAAAGGAGAACGGTGGCCCGCATCAACAGCATTACGAACGACCTGAGAAGTACCACGAAGATCTGGTTGGGGCTCCGGTCCCCCCGCCGTCGCCTTCACGGTGCGCGCCTGCGTGCTCCGCGCGCGGACACGGCAGTCGGCGTTCGTCCTTCCGTCCGTCCGACATCCTTTCACCGTGGCCCCCAATCCGCCCATCGCGCTGCGATGTGATTCGGGCGCATCCCTTGCCGTCTGGCATGCGTCGTAGTGGCCGCGCGCTCAGGGGGCCTGACCTCTCGTTTTGCGTCCGCCATGGTCACCAGGGCTAAGCGTGCGCGGCAATGGCGGTCGCAGCGTCGCACGCGGACACCCGTTGCGATTCGGTGTTTGTGTGTGTGTGTGTGTGGGTGTGGGTGTGGGTGTGGGTGTGGGTGTGGGTGTGGGTGTGGGTGTGTGTATGTATGTGCTGTGCGTTGCGTGTTGTGTGTGTTGTGTTGTGTGCTGTGTGTGTGTGGTGTGTTGCGTGTTTGGTGTGGGTGTGTTCGCGTGTCTGTGCGTGTCTGTGTCTGTCTGTGAGCGCGTTCGTGAGCGAGTGAGTCTGCGTGCGTGTGCGAGTGTGCGTGTGTGGTTCTACGCCCTGTCCCCGCGCGCGGGGTCGCGACCCCCCCAAAAAAAGTGGCTGTGTGTGTGTTGGCGTTGTGTTCGTGTGTGCGTGTGTCGCTGCGCGCGGGGCCGCGACGCCAAAAAGTGTCTGTCTGTGTGTATGTATGTGTGTGCGTGTATGTATGTGTGCGTGTGTGTGTGTGTCTGTGTGTGTTTCTGTGTTTCTGTGTTTCTGTGTGTGTGCGCGTGTGTGCGTGTGTTCGTTCGTGCGTGCGTGCGTGTGTTTGTATAAATAAAAACATATATACATATATATATACATATATGTATATATATCCGTAAGGGCTTCGCCCCATGCCGCCGGCCCCCTGTCTCGGATAATGGGAGATGCAAAAGCTAAATCACGAGGTCTGGGCGCCGCCGTGAAGCAGTGTCGGGATCTGTTTGTTTTGGGACCCTGGCCCCGCCGATCTGCGTGAGGGGTGCCACCGAATTTCAGAAATGTTGCAAATGCGATTGTTTTTATTGACCCTGCACTGCGGATCTGCGTAATGGGTGCCACCGAATTTCAGAGATGTGGCACATCCCCTTGATTTTGGACCCTGGGTCCGCCGATTTGCATGAGGGGTGCTACCGAATTTGAAACATGTAGCAAATCCCTTGTGGGTGCCACCGAATTTCAGAAATGTGGCGCGTCCCTGGTGTGTTTGGACCCTGACCCCGCCGATTTGCGTGAGGGGTGCCACCGAGTTTCAGATATGTGACACATCCCTTGTGTTTTTGGACCCTGACCCCACCGATCTGCGTGAGGGGTGCCACCGAATTTCAGATATGTGACACATCCCATGTGTTTTTGGACCCTGACCCCGCCGATCTGTGTGAGGGGTGATACAGAATTTCAGAAGTGTGGCACATCCCATGTGTTTTTGGACCCTGACCCCGCCGATCTGCGTGAGGGGTGCCACCGAATTTCAGAATGGTGGCAAATCCCATGTGTTTTTGGACCCTGACCCCGCCGATTTGCGTAACTGTGGCACATACATCCCCTCTGTTTTTGAACCCTGACCCCGCCGATCTGCGTGAGGGGCGCCACCGAATTTCAGAAATGTGGCAAATCCCATGCGTTTTGCTGACACTGACCCCGCCGATCTGCGTGAGGGGTGCCATGAAGTTCAAACATGTGGCAAATCCCCTTGCGTGTGTTGCACCCTGACCCTGCTGATCTGCGTGAGGGGTGTCAATTTCCCCCCCCCCGAAATTCTGAGAACCCTCCCAGGGCGGAGTAGTTTTGCTGGTTTGGCCCCCCCTCTCGCGCGTTCATCAACAAGGACCAGTAAGCAGCAATAAGTATAACTGTAACAGTGGAAACTGGAAGCTGCAAGTGGTACAGGGAGCAGCAGGCTCCCGGCCTACAGCCTGGTGGACCCGCAAGGGGGCCGGCGGATATATATATATATATATATATATATATATATATATATATATATATATATATATTATATATATATATATATATATAGCCGTAGCCAATTGGCCTCAAGTTGCGCCTTCTGGTCAGGTCCAGGAAGTTTAGGGCTCGAGTCAAGACGTAAGTCTACATCCAGTTTTGCATCGCAAGCTTTAGTCTTCGGCGGTTTCCAAGACTAGCCCGTCCTCCGAGGTCAGGATGGGGACGCAATGCGCATGGCCAGGGCGCCGGTGGCGGCCATGGTGGCAGTGGCTCGCCTTCTACATCGGAATGGAAGCGCGACCCCTCCGGCAACTGGCAGTTAAGTGGGCCGTCGCCCATCGCACAGCCAGCTGCCTCCTTCGAGTTCACGCACATGGACCTGCAAGCAGTGCCAGAGCACGAACCACAGCCCAAAAGCCTGCACGACATGTGGGCTCAAGCGGACCTACGGCGAAGTTGCGAAGTCGGCGTTGCCCCCCCCCGGCCAAGGAGACGAGTGCATCGCAGCAGAACCCTGTTCGTGTTCAACTGAACGCCTTCACGGAAACCCTCACGAAGATCCACGAGGCCAAGGACGTACCCCCCACGCCTCCCTCGCCTGCCGAGCGCGTGCCGTAGGCTCTCAGCAACGAGGCCCCGAACAAGGGCCACCTCCAGGCCCGCATCAAGCAGTTGGAGACGGCCCTGGCGGCCATCCCCGAGGGCGACGCGAAGCTCGCCACCGAGCGCGCGTCGTTGGCGACCCGGCTCACCGACGCCAAGCGGCAGCTGCCCGGCTCCAAGCCGATCGGTGCCCGGATCGATGGCGCACGTGCTGCTCTGGGACGTGCCCGCCAGCGCCAGGCGGAGGCCGAACAGGCGGTGGCAGCTGCCCTGCAGCTCCAGCACACGGTCGCATGCGAGGTCACTGCGCTCGAGACGGAGCTCCAGGAGCTGGAGGCTTCTCTCACGACGGAGGCTCCCATCGAGGCGACTGCGACGCCCGAGTCCCAGGCGCACGCGATCCTGGGCCAGATGATCGACCAGCTCACGGCCGACGAGTACGTCCACCCAGGGCACGTCGAGGTTGCCAAGACGCACGTGCGGCAGTTGTTCGCTGGCTGTCGGGGGACGCCCCAGCAGGCCGAGGCCACTCGTGCAGCTGCTGCCGGCACGCCGCTTGTCCCCAAGGAGGTGCGCCATACCACCAAGAGCCCCCCTGCGGCTCCGCTCCCCGCCAAGCCTGGCACGCTGGTGCGCCACAGTGGGAAGCAACCTCGCAAGGAGCTGATCACAGACTACTTCAGCAAGCGCAAGTTGATCAAGTCCATCGGCAAGGAGACGGCGGGACTTCCTGCCACCTCCAAGGCCCCTCAGACTGCGTAGTCGCCGCCTCACGCGCGGCTTTCTGCACTCCTGGCCCGCCTCGCCCCCCTGAGCGTTGGCCGGAGTGTGCAGGCAGCAATCGTGTGTCTGCGATCTGGCCGTCTGCGAGGACTCCTTCGTCTCCGGCGGCACCCGCGCCACCAGCACCGACTCGTCCATCTACGATGGCTTGTTCGACGCTCTGCGTTGCCACTGGTAACGCGCGCACGCTGCGCCCCCAAGAGGAAGCAGCTGCAGGTCAGCTGCGCCCTCCTGCTCGGCAAGGTCCAGATTCTGGAGCAGGCGTTCCACGATGAGTACCTCGATTTCGTTTTCATTCAGGAGGGTCGCGCACGCGCCGCCGAAGTGCCCCGAGGCCTCGACTACACCATGCATGTCGGCGCGTCGGACAGCCTGGGCGGGCGCGGCTGCCAGGCGTGGGCCCGCGCAGCCGCCCAATTCCGCGCCCCCCCCCTACGCGGCGCCATCCAGTCGCCTCTACTGGGCAACGGGCCGGGATGCGCAGGGCATCCCATTTATTCTCGTCAGCGCCCTTGCGCCCAGTGACCGCGCCCCCGCTGCCGAGCGGGAGGCCTTTTGGGATCTCCTGCTCCAGACGCTGCTGACGCTTCGTGACCGAGCCCCGTCTGCCAAGACGTTCCTCGGCATCGACGCGAACGGCAGGGCGGGCGCTGGACACAATCGGCGCCTGAGATTCGGAAACATTTACGGCCAACGGCTCCGACCTGCTCTCGGTGCTCGTCCGCCTCCGCTTCGCCGCCATCGACGCCTTCTATGATGCGGGCTATGCGTGGCGCTCCGGCAAAGGCCCCACGTCCCGCGCTGACTACATCTGCGGGCCCTTCGGCGAGCTGCCCCACGCGTCCGTCTCTCACGTCCCGCGTCACGTGCAGCTTTCGCTCATAGCTAAGGACGACCATCGTCTCGTCGTGGCCGCGACCAGCACGCGCGCGCTCGCGAGCGCGCCCAAGCCCGACGCTTTCCGGTTTAACGAATGGCGGCTTGGCGATCCTGCCCGGGCCCAAGCGTCTCAGACCATGCCGCGCCGGTTGCAGGCCCCCGTCGACGCATCCATCGACGCGAAGACCCAGGCGATGACGTCGCAGATGCGCACGGCCGCCCGCCATGCTTTCGGCAGGCCTGAGGGTCGCCCTCGCCAACCGTGGATCTCCGACGACACGCGGTCGATGCTGCGCCTGCTGGCGCCCTCGCGCAGAGTCGTTCATGCCGCCGGCCGGGAGGCGCATCGAGCATACTTTCACAGGATCTTCCTCGGCTGGGCTGCGCAGCGCACGGGTGTCTCCCACGTGACCTCATCTTCGCAAACGCGCTTGGGCTGGGCAGCGCGCTGCGCGCTTCGGCCGCTTCGACACGTCGAGTTTCGGCGGCGCCTGCCGATTGCCATGGCCTGGAGGCTTTGCCAACAGCTCGCCCACCTACATAGGCACTTTGCGCACTTTGACCGGCAGCTCTTCCTCGAGGACAGGCCCGCGAGGCCCAGTGCGCCGCCGCGTGGGGTGACTGAGGAGGAACTTTCGGCGTGGCGCGATCGCTCAGTGGCCGGGCTGCTAGCTTGGCGGACCACCCTGTGCTCCTCAAGTCTGGCGAATTGTCCAGCTCGGAGGCGGAGCGGCAGGCCCCGCGGCAGGAGCATTACCGGGAAGTCTTCAACGGCGCCGAGGCCCATATGGAGCAGCTGCGCGCGCAGCCTGTGGAGGCACCGCGCATTTCTCCCACCGTCGAGGTCACGCCAGACGCTGTTGCCGCGTCGCTCAGGCAGCCGGGGCGGAACAAAGGCGTCGGACGCGATGGTGCGCCGGCGGAATTGCTAGTGGCTGGGGGGGAAGGCTCGGCGACGCCGTTGGCCGCCCTCTACCGGGACATCGTCGATTCCGAGCGGTGGTCCGTCCATTGGGCAGGTGGCCGCATGCAGAACGTTCGCGAGCGCAAAGGCCCCCCCACCGACTGCGACGAGTCTCGCGGCATCGTGCTGGAGGATCACGCCGCCAAAAGCCTCAAGCAGCTGCTCAGCCACATGGTCACTGGCCCTTGCCAGGACACTGTCCCCGAGGTGCAGCACGGCGCTGTCGCCGGCAGGGGGGCTGATTATGCCGCTCAACTCGCGCACAGCTTCCAAGCGTACTGCAATGCGACAGGACGGTCGTCGTTTGCATGGTTTGTTGACCTCGCGAAGGCGTTCGACCGCATCGTGATGGAGGTGGTGCTTGGATGGCCCTGCGACGCAACTGACCCTGAGGCTTACCTCGCATCCCTGGGCCTCAGCCCAGACCAATCCGCATGGACAGCGCAGTGGGCGGCACGGCATGGCTGCCTCTTCGCCCAGAGGGGCGGTAGCCCAAAAGTCATCCGCCTGCTCAAAAACCCCACGCGGCCTCATGGTTTTCTTACGGTGACGTCGACACCGCCATCGTCGCACGCGTTGGCGGCCGCCGGAGTGCAGGTGCTGATCCGAGACGCTCTTCTGGACGCCGGCATCTTGCTCCGCTTGCGGGCTGGGTCCCCGGATTTCTGGGGCGCTGGCCCCGCTGGGCCGAATGCCGACCCAGAGGTCGTCTCTCTTGTGGACGCCGCGTTCGTCGACGTGCTCGCGGCGCGTCTGCCCAAGGAGCTGGGCGCTGCCATCGACGTCGCGCTGCACACGGTGCGTGACATCTACGACCGCCTGAACCTGACAATCAAGTGGAAAGTGGGCTAGTCCGAATGCTTCCTCGCGCACCGAGGCCACGGGGCCACCGCCCGGCTACAGCGGCGCCGCGTGCTTCCTGACGGAGGTTTTGCAGTCGCTGTACCCCGACCTGTGGTACCACTGCTGGCGGTCACCACCGAGAAGCACCTCGTCGGCGCGGTGGGCGCCGCTGGCGCCGCGGCCCCAGGCGCCAACCACTTGAGACAGCAGGCGGCCATGAGCTATGGGCCTCTAGCGAGCAAGGTTTTCGGCTCGGCGGTCGTGGGCGCCAGCTTGAAGATCTGGCTCATGCACTCGTGGGTCCTCAGCCGCCTCCTCTTCAACGTGCACGTGGTCGTCCCTACGAGGCGATATCTGCAGGTGCTCAACGGCATGCACATGCGGGTGCCCCGACGATTCGGCGACGCCCCGCGGTTCGGCCGCGCCGAAACGGACCTCGAGATACGCACGCGGCTCAAGCAGCCCAGCTTGGACTGCCTGGTGATGCGTGCTCGTCTCCGCTACTTAGGGCGCCTGGTGCGTAGTTCACCGCCCGCGCTGCTGGCCCTGCTCGCCGCGCGGCCTGGCGGGGCGCGCCTGCCCTGGGTCACTCTGCTCGTGTCCGACCTGGGCAAGCTCCGCGAGCTCGTTGCCCTGTGCAGCACGCTGCCGCCGCCGGAGGGTACCGCGAGCGCTTGGGCGACGTTCATCAGCGACTCCCCAGCGCGCTGGACAAATGCCGTGAGCATGTTGTTTTTTCACCGACTCTTGCTGTGACCGTGGCGGCGCCGTTCAAGTCGAAGGCGACACCCGCCCATTTGCTTGCCACCAGTGCGACGCGCGCTTCGCGACGGCGAAGGCGCGTGACCAGCATCTCAGAATTCGACATTCTGTCCGGTGCTTACAGAGAAGCTACGCCGGCGCTGATGCGACCTGCCTGGTGTGCCACACCGTGTTCGGTTCACGCCTTCGGTTGCTGTCGCACCCTTGCGACTCCCGCCGGCCAGCGTGCTGGGAAGCCACTCGTGCTTCCCCAGCCCGCTACTTTCCGCTACCTCAGAAGCAGCTGGCTGAGCTTGACGGCCTGGACAAGGTGCAGCGCCGCGAAGCTCAGTGTCAAGGCCTGTCACACGCACCGGCCAAAGGGCCCGCCCGTCGAGCTGACGGCAGCGTCGTTTGGGCGCGCCCGTGTCTGACCTTTGGTCAACCCTATTCCAGCATAACTTGATACGCCTCGCGCTACACTGGCATATTATATATATGTGTGTATGTATATATACATATATTATATGTATATATATATACATATATGTGTGTATGTATATATGAACACATATACATACACACGCATGTGTATATATATATATAAGTCAAACATATATGAATACGCATGTGTGTAACATATAGATATGTGAAACATATACTTATGTCGTTGCTGTAACTATATGTATACAAACACACAAATGTGAATCATTTGTCGGTTTCTCATTCCACTGCCAAGTGGATGCCCGCATGTTCCACGGTGTCCACGTGACTGACCCTCCAGGCATTGGCGTTGCAGTCCTTCGTTGCGTTTCAGTGAGTGGAGAGACGGGAAACCGATGGTCGGGGGATCCGGAGAGGGAGGTGGAGGACGAGGCGGGAGCACGAGAGAGGATGAGAAGGAAGAGGAAGAGGATTGAAAAAGGGGGAAGGGCAGGGGGGGGAGGAGGAGGAGTAGGAGGAGGAGGAGGAGGAGGAGGAGGAGGAGGAAGCAGAGGAGGAGGAGGAGGAGGAGGAGGAAGAACAGGAGGAATTTGGGGAGGAAGAAGAAGAACATGGACAGCGGTACGTGGAGGAATGGTCAGGGGAGGCAGAGTGGAGGACGTAACGTGTGGCGAGGCGGATCGGGAGGGGGAGGGGTAGGGGCAGGGAGGAACGAGAGTTGGGGCGGGGGCGGCGCGGCGGATGTGGAAGAGCAAGCAGGGGAGACAGGCGAAGGCGGAAGAGGCGGACGGGTCAGCAGGGTGGATCAGTCGGCGTGGGACGAGCGGGAGGAGGTGGAGGAGGAACGATGTGCGTGAGCACGAAGACAGGCAGCACGCCGCGCCGGGAGGCCGACGAGGACGACGAGTGAGCAGCGCGCGGGGAGCCGGCCCGGGGCGCCGAGCTGCAAAACGGGGCGACCGCGCGCGCGATTCTGTGTTGGGGCTGCTGTGCTGTGGCTGCGCGTGCGTGTTCGCATGCGCGCGCGTGTGGGTATGTTACGCTCCCGTTGTGTACTCGGTGCGCTTTCTCACAGGAGGGACGGACACGAGAGGTCCAGGGAGCAGCGGTATCGGTACCTTTGGTCTCCCGAGTGTGCGTGTGCGTTCGGCGCGTATAGGGCAGGAAGGGTGGCAGCAGCCCGACCATTCATCGGTTGTGGCGCCTGGCAAGTGCGACCCATCACGAGCCTTCGTGCAGCGGCATTGCGGAAACATCGCCCATTGTACGTGGCACCCGACGGTCTCAGCACGCTCCCAGGTCTGATTCTGGCTCAGCGTTATTGTTTGGTTGTCTTTACTCCAAAGGCTTGTGCGCGATTCCGTCAGGAGGATGCTCGGAGGAGGAGGGCGACGACGTCGCGGCCTTTCGAGAATGTCCTGGGGTATGCTGCGGGGCGTCTGTGGGGTCTGTGGGAGGCCTCGGGGGCGCCCTCTTGGATGTTGGTGGTCTTCGGAAGCCGTCTTGGGAGGGCGGCCCCCCGGGGGGGCCTTCGAGTTCCCCCTATTGTGCCCATGTTGGGACTCTTTGGCAGCCCTCATTGTCATCGAGGACAAAAGAACCCCTGACCCTGATAACATAGCGAAGACGTGGCCTCACTTAGGTCCGCGTCTTTCCATGAGGGATCATACTTCTGGGCGGTTTGTATTGGTACCTCTGCAGGAAGGACCCCCTATACCTAATGTTTTTGCCTACCCCTAATGTGTTTCCCCTCCTAATTGAAGTCCCACCCAAAAGGGTTAGGTGCCATTTTTTGGTTAATCACCTTGGGGGCCTCTGGAGCCGTTGGGGCCCTCTTGGTTGGGCTGTCTCGGGCCCCTCTTGGGGGCCTCTGAGGGCGTCTGGAGCCGACTCTTGAGCCGTCTTCGGCATTCGGGTGAATACGGAATCATCTGACATGTTGCACATCACAGATTGTTGCCTCCTGAGGCCATCCTGGGGATCCTTTGGAGCTCTCTAAAGATTAGGCGTCTCGGGAGCTTCTGGGACCATCTCGAGGCCATCGTGGGTCCTCTTGTGACCTCTTCGGCGTGGTGGAGCCCTTCCTGAGCTGTCTTGAATGGCGTGTTGGACATCTTGGAGAGATAGTTTGGAGGCCCCGAGGGCCCCAGAGCTGCACTGGCAAGCTCGTCACCTAAAACGAGGTGTTGGACCGCAGGGGAGGGAGAAAGGGGGAGGGGGGCATTCGATCATCTCACGCGTCCGTTCACCTCCAGCAGGCGGCGGACGGCGGAGCATCCGACAACAGCAGCGCTACGCGATGATCATTGATTGCTCTTCTTCGCCGCTGTTCCGTACTGCACGAAGTCATGATTTCTGCTGCGCGTGGCGAGGAGGAAGTGAGCCCACCACCCAGGCCAGCTGCATGCGGCAGACCTTTTTTAACCGTGCCCGCGCAGCGGCGTGGCAGGAAGGCGGTGGAGCTCAAGACCTGCTCCAGTTCGGCATCCTGTCCAGGCTGGCGCGGAAGATCAGGAAGAGGAGGAGTACGAGGAAGAGGAGGAGGAGGAGGAGGAGGAGCACCGTTTTGTCCGCAGTATCGTTTTCCGCTTCTATATATTCTCTCCTGACCTCCTTCGACTCGCCTCGTGGCGTCTTGGACCGTTCCAGAGGGTGTATTTTCGGGGCTCCTGGGGGCTTGTTGGGGTCCGTTGGAGGTCCGTCGGGTCGTCCATGGGCTTTTTGGGGGATTCCTGGCCTCTGCCGAGCTCCCTCGAAGAGCCGCGGTAGAACCTCGGCGGCCCGCCGATTGGGAGGCGTGAGAGGGGGCAGGCCTTCTCGGAAGGCGGCGGGGCTTCTCGCAAGCCCTCAAGCCTTGCGAGAAGTTCTCTGCAGCTTCGGAGAATCGGCGCCACCCCACCATACCAACACCGTGTGTGCGTCGCCCGCCCCCCGGGGGCGACGCGCGCACCGAGGAACAGCTTAGAGTGTGTGCGTCGTGGCGGGCGCTGTCTGGCCACGCCGCTCGGGAGACGGCATCCTACAAGATGGGCATCCTATGCATACGTTCTGGTCGGGAGGAGGAGGAGGAGGAGGGAGGAGGGAGGAGGGAGGAGGGAGGAGGGAGGAGGGAGGGAGGACATACAGTGCTCGCATGCCCCTGTGCGTCCCAGAGAAGGCTCACAGAGTTCCTCGGGGCGCGCCGCCGATAGCCCCCTTGGGGGCGGCCGGGCGAGTCGCCGGGCCCACCATGGAGCACTCCCCTGGAGCGGCCCCTTCAGTGTTGCCCGGGGGTGGACAGAACCCCCACCCTGACACGTCGACGAGTGAATTGTCCGTTTTCCGTTCTCGAGAGGGCGCCGCGGCCGTCATTTTTCAGGCGTGTGCCCGCCAGGTTTGGGCCCGAGGTCGTTTTCACTAAACCACGTTTTACAAAAGGGAGGTCTGTCCATCCCCGAGTGTTGCCCAGGGTTCATGTTTTCTCTGGTGCTCCCACTTCCCTTGCCATTTCTTTGATTTGCTGCTGGGGGGGCAGTGGCGATGCCTGTCTTCGTTTCCCTGCGCGGCTCACACGCGACTTCCTCCTTCTCCCCCCGGAGCACTCTTGGGGCCGTCCGGAGGGCTCTCGGCTCTCGTCGGGTTCGCCTGGGGGTTTCCTTTGGGCGGTCCGCAGCCAGAGAGCCTCGGAGGCAACATGTGCGCTGAGTTCCCAGGGCTGCCCGCCGTGTCCCCTCTTGGAGCAAGAGGAGGAGGAGGACGGGGAGGAGGACGAGGAGGAGGAGGCTCTGGAGACTCTGGATGACGACGAGGTGTGCCGAGAACGATGCACCAAGCCAAACTGGTAATCAGAATGAAAGAGAGGGGCCGACCGACTAACGATGAGCTCGAGCGAAGATAGGCACAAGTTTCTTGAAACCATTACCTATCTTCTCACCTGGCGGGCCCCGCCCTTGGAGGAGGTACCTACGCTTGAAGTGCCTCGCCAAATCTGTCTCCCCAAACAGGATCTGGAAATCAACAACTCTACCGAAGCACATCTTGCAGCGCATTCAAAATACCAGACCATGGGGCCAGTCCGCCAGAGCTTGTGGAAAGGGTGCGCTTCTTTGACTTTTTGGGGGTCCCCAAGACACGGGAAGAGAGCCAGGTCCCGACGCCGAGCTCGGCTATCTCCGCACCTACCGCACACCCACTGTCCCTGGAAACGCTGAATTAGGTGGCCCCCGTCTTCACTGAGGATGAGACAAGTTCCACGCATTGTCCTGCACTCACTTGCTAGGCGTCCGTCCAGCCCCCTTTTCGACACAGCCTGAGGATGCGTAGCACGCACCTCAGCGCCTGAGGGGCTGCCGGCTCTCTGAGCTCCCTCAGCTTCTCTTGTGGCCGCTGACGGGGGTGGCAATCGGCGCCCATCCTTTCATAGTGATCCGCAGCTCGATGACCCTTCCACTACGGGAGAGCAACACCACGGTCGGTAGCTTGCATCCTCGTCGTGTGCGACGGAATCCAGACCACGTCGATCTCCGTGACGCCGATGTCGTTCACAACCTCCCAGAATGTCGACCACAGCCCTGTGTAGTGATGATTGACGCCACATCCATAGGGAAACCCTTGCTGCCAGGCCTCCCTCAGGTCCTTGTAGTCCGTCACGAGGGTGGTCCGCCCTTCCGACTTGTGCTTCGGCGCCTTGATCACATCCCAGATGTATCCAGCTCCAGACGATTGCCACGGGTAAAGTACTGGCCCCGATGCAGCAGCCACCGTATCCCCAGCTTCATTGATCATCGCCAAGGCCCAGCTTGCACGTGCTCGGACCTCACAGCGAGGAAACATACAGCTGTCATCCTCACAAACAACTCCATTGACAAGGCCGTTGACCGTGCACACGTGCCAGTTGATGATGTTTTCAGTTGTCGGCAGGGGCGGGTCGAACGTGAGATCTGACACCAGCCCGTTGCAAGTGATCATGGTGAAGGGCTGGTCTGGCCCCTACTCTCGTCGGTCCCATAGCAGCAACTTGCGCCCCTCTGCCGCCCAGCTATGCCTTTTCCACGGTATGCCAGTCGCACCTGGAGATCCGATGTGAATCCGCAGTATCTTCCACTCCATAGATCGCGCAAGTGGGGCTCTCCACTGCCCTTTCTTTGGTACAGCCGCACCTGACAGAAAAAACCCTAATAGCCAAGTCCTGGTCAACCCAGCCCCTCGACCGTCGTCTTGACGACGCAGGGCGCAGGTCAGGTCCTTGGCAGGCTGCAGTAGTGGTGGACCCGCGAGGCCCTCCATGCCGCGACTGTTGGGCAGCTCCATCATGAGACGTCTCTGGGTAGCTTGATCGATTGTCTTCCTGACCGTAGCCAATCCTAACCCACGTAAGTCCAGCGTCGCCCCGCGTTCAGTGACCCAGTGACGCCAAGGTGTGGCAGACCATCCCAGCCTCGCCAAGGTAATGGTGGCCGCCCCTGCGAGCCCTTGGACTCCACGCCAGGGCTGGATCTGGTTCTGCCCGCGCATGAACGCCAATGCCATCGTTTTGTGCCGTGTCCATTTCCCCTGCAGAGGTCTCAGTCAGTAAACCAACGGGTATTCATCCGCGACGAAGGTGGGGTCAGCTCTAGGGCAACGTGGGAATTGTAGCTCCGTGTTTCTGCATCTCCCTCTGGCCGTGCCAAAGAGCGCATGCCTTGCTATGGCCCTGACCTGCTTGAGCTGCGCGTCCGCCATGCAGTTCACCTTGACCGCTCAGGAAATTGGAACCAGGACACCCCCATGAAACAACCCACCCACCTGTCTCCCTCCCAGCGCCAGCCGTTGACATCTTGCAATTATATTGGATGTCGCCAGGATCCTCGCCCGCTGCACTGGCCCAGTCGCTCCGCGTCTCATAGTGCGATCATGTTCCAGCTGCCGTGCCGCGCTGTGTCGCCGGAGCTGGTACTTCTTGAGCGCAACCTCGATTTATTTTTCAAGCTGAGGCGACGTTGTAAGAACATGTCCTTCGTTTGGGCTTGGCTCCAGCCCGAGGCCCACCAGCTCTTTTCATAATTGTCTGGCCACTGGGATGATCGTGCTCAGCACTTGCTCGCGCTG